CCCTCAGCACTGACCCTCCGACAGTACCCACTCCCTCAGCACTGACCTCCAACAGTGCGGCGCTCCCTCAGCACTGACCCTCCAACAGTGCCCACTCCTCCAGCACTGACCCTCAGACAGTGCCTGCTCCCTCAGCACTGACCCTCCAACAGTCCCTACTCCTTCAGCACTGACCCCCTGACAGTGCCCGCTCCCTTGGCGCTGACCCTCCAACAGTGCGGCACTCCCTTGGCGCTGACCCTCCGACAGTGCAGTACTTGGTCAATTTTGTCTTTAGCGTGTCTGCCTGAATTTTGTGCCACCATTATGGAGTGTCTTGAATCTACACCCTCTGACCCAAAGACAGAAAGGTGGGATGGAAGCATTCCGAGACTGATTTTTCTGGGGCCTTGTGCCTAAGAGGAGGAGTGCTATCTGTCAGCATCTCCATTCATCCGGGGAGCTGCACATCTCTGAGAGTTTCAGGATGGGCTGAAGGTGGCAGATTTCCACTCATCTTTCTCAAGCATGTACCCAGGATAAGTTAGCATCTCTCTAACGCTTTTAAATCCTTTATTAAAGCCATTCAACCACAAGCATGTGTTAAAGAAATGTATGGTTTCATTTTGAATTTAGGTAATATTGTGAGACAGACAGTGTTGGATAAGTCACCTGATATTTATTGCTGTTGAGTTTCCTGTTGACTGTGGGTATGTGATGTATGACAGATAGCTGATCAAAAGCTCCTTGCAGATATCTCATTCTCTGCAGAAAAAGCTGGATGGTGTTATTGTACATGAGCGCTAATTCCTGTAGTGCAGGGTGAATGCTGTCTTTCCTCAGCCAGCCCCTCACTACAGGATGAGGACGCTAACTGTTTTAAAGTAACAGTGATCAAACACATTTCTTCTTCCTCCTGCTTATGAACTAGGATGGGGTTTTACTCGGGGCGGTTGGAGCATATGACTGGAACGGAGCCATTGTGAAAGAAAGTGTCTATGGTAAAATTATCACATCGAGAGAAGCCCTGAACCAGGAGTTTCCCAAAGCCTTGAAGAACCACGCAGCCTATCTCGGTATGCAGGGTGGACGGGTGTGGATGGGGGATGGTGGGGGGTGTGCAGTGAGAGGAGGGTGGGTGAGTCAGAGTCAGAGTGGGGTGACATAAGTTGTGGTGGGGTGGGGGTGTGGTGATGTGAGGCGGGGTTGTGGTGAG